GCCTCACAGTGGTAATTTTTTTTTTTAAATAAAATATTTATTGAGCTCACTATCCGTTGAGTACATCAATCAATTTCTATCACAATTTACAAAAAGAGTTTAAAAAACGCGAAATAACGGCTGTAACTCAGTTTATAACATTATAGTTTAAAGATGCAAAAGTCTGTTATCACACTTTCCGACCCCCCCCCCCCTTCGTCACACGTCCACAAAATTCCGACCCCCCATTTCCTCTCTTTGAGAGTGACTTCATTTTTGGATGAACCCTATGACGACTGGTGCACAGGGTGATATACGAAATGGGGTAGGGGGGGGCAGCAAACGTCTCATATATTTGTGTTATGTTAAAACCACCCACTCCAACCACCCACTCCAACCACCCACTCCAACCACCACTCCAACCACCACTCCAACCACACCACAACACCGGTACGCGTTTCATTGAGTTTTATTTCCGATGACACAAATTCTAGTGTCACTGGCTGTCCGGGACTAGAAAGTGAATGGGATAACTCTTGCGGTGGCTTAGGAGTGTCGGGACGAGTTAAGGGCCTTAGTGATACAGGAATTTGAACCCAACATTTCTCGTTATCAGTCAGAACTACGGCGGCGGCAACTTTTCCGGCTTATCTACCGGCTATGTAAAAACAAAATATATTGATATAAATACGAGTGTAAATCATTCTGTAGTGTTGGGGGAAAAGGTTGCCGGAATTTTTAGACGTTTTGGAATTTCTTTTGATTGAGCCGCACCTCGGGATCCTCTTATCCGACGAATAAATGGAAAGTGTAAAAACAAGAATGTAAAGATCCGAAACAAATAGTTTTAGATTAAAAGTAGGTTTTTTATTAAAGCTTTTACCGGTGAATGGTCTACTAGAAATTCCTGCTCAATTTTTATAATCATGGAATGTTGATTTGTCATTCTATGAAAAAAGGAGTAGTACGTTTCCTATTCTAATATGTTCAATAAAAAAATAATGAAACACATTCTAATATTCTTTTAATAGAAAGTTTACGTAAACTAAATATGAAACAAAAAGTTGATCTAAAAGGGATCGTGCATAAAGACGGTATATAATGACCACCCCCAATTATGTTACATTTTCCCCACCTCACCCCTTTGTAGCATAATATAATAAAATGATAAACACCTACTCTTCGTGTTTTGTATGTACATGGGACAAAATATATCGCAAATAATAATGGTACTAGCCGATTTCAATGGCTGTATCTTAGATCTTCTAGCGCTTTTTTGTTATCTATGTTGGTTGCATCTAGTTTACACTTTTGGTCGTGTTCCTGTGTTGGTTACACCCAGCTTATAGTTTGGGTAGTGTTCCAATGTTTGTTACATTCAGCTTATAGTTTAGGTCGTGTTGGTTACATCCAGCTTATAGTTTTGGCTTTGTTCCTGTGTTGGTTACATCCAGCTTATAGTTTTGGCTTTGTTCCTGTGTTGGTTACATCCAGCTTATAGTTTTGGTCGTGTTCCTGTGTTGGTTACATCCAGCTTATAGTTTTGGTCGTGTTCCTGTGTTGGTTACATCCAGCTTATAGTTTGGGTCTTGTTCCTGTGTTGGTTACATCCAGCTTACAGTTTTGGTCGTATTCCTGTGTTGGTTACATCCAGCTTACAGTTTTGGTCGTATTCCTGTGTTGGTTACATCCAACTTATAGTTTTGGTCTTATTCCCGCGTTGGGTACATCTAGATTATAGTTTTGGTCGTATTCCTGTGTTGGTTACATCCAGCTAGCGTACATTGCAGAGACAGACAGAATTAGCAACAAAAACTGCAGGTGATATTCATTGTTTTATTGATATCAGATCCAAAGTTTCCCCCATTAAAATAAAACACAGCTTGTTGAAGCATTGTATAACATGCAGACACAACCAGATATAATATAAATGAATGATTACAAATAATACAAATAAGAAACTGTATACAATCATGCAATAATTAAAGAAATTTGACTAGACCAAGCCCCATATAAATATACAGCCGAATATAATACTGAAAACTTATAGACTTTCGTGATGTTTACTAAAGATGTATTAATGATGAACATTAATTTTAGGGAGGGGTGAATGTGGTATATAAACACAAGCCCATTGGAAAAGACTTTGGCCTAGACTGAGATGGACTGATGGTGTAAAGACAGACCTACCAAGTCCTTAAGAGGACAACAGACAAATCTGAGTGGAGGTGGAAGGAGGTAAAGCAGGCTAAAGATGCACAGCCATGGATGGATGGGTGGTTTACGGCAGGGATGTCTTAGGAGACAACGTAATTCACACACACGGACTAAACAATGTGTTTAGGTTGAGGCCCTATGTCCCAAAATGACTACAATAGAGTAACACGTTAAGCACGATGAATATCACTGATTTTCTGTCAAAGTACATCCTTCATGATGTATGCTCTCATGATGTGTAGTTAGTTCAAGGTGTACACATGTGGTGTACTTGTATAATGTACATGATGATATGAATGAACAGGAACATTTCATTAACCTCTCATGGTGTGAGTTTACTAAATCTTAAATACCAAATTCAACACACTACTTTCAATTGTAAACACCACATGCATAGGTAACAAATGTTCTTTCACATACAGAAGAGTTCACCAAGGGAAAGTACCTATATATTTAAAAAAAAAATTTACCTGCAAAATTTAAACAAGCCTCAAAAATGTTAAAATGTTGCAGTACAAAATTTATGTATAGTGAAGATCAAAATAACATTTTGTTGATCCACTTTCAACAAACAACTTTTAAAATATCAAAAGGTGAAAGTTCAAGGCCAAAGGGTAAAGAGGTTAGTTGGTTTTAAGCTAATCTGATAAGTGTGTCTTTGCAAAAATAGCTTACACATACAAATAATGGGCAGATTTAAAAGCCATTAATTTCAATACAAAAATGTTAGGAATAATAAAACCAGTTAAACTATAAGAAACAAAAAGTTCTAGATAAATGTTATAACATATTAGCCAGTTGAATATCCTCTCTGTTTGGACCAGCTTCAAATGTATTTAATTAGAGTTATAACTTACACAAAAGGTGGGGGGAGTAACTCTAAATAAATGTTATTCATTACATTGTGTAGACTGTGAAAACACAAGAAACTATGACTTGATAGCTCACAGATAGGAACACAGTTTTAAGGATGAAAAGCTTGTCTAGACAGCTTACAACCGTGTATTCACAGGTAAATGAAGGAACAACTGATCTGAAGTCCAGGTATTCAATGAACCAAGTCAGATATCAAACAAGCAACATCTGATCTAAGTCAGACAATTTACCCACAGTTCAGCCCATTAAGATGGCCCACTTCTATTATAAGCTTTCTATCTCCTGATTGTGTTATGTCTTTCATAGGTGTATACATTTTTTTTACTTGCTAGTTATTTCCCTTGCTTTACTTGTGTTACTTCCCTTCTTTTTTTACTAGCCAGTTATTTCCCCTGAAGCCTGTTATGCTGAACATACCAGAAAGGTAAACAACAGGTCTGGCACCCAAAGCAACATCTTAAGCTCAAAAGGTAAACTGATTTCAGGGCCCGCCTTTCATTCAGGAAACATGATACATTTTTTTTTCTCCATTCATTCACCAATTTTTAATTATGGGTGTAATTAGCTTTTTTGGGGCTTATTTAGGAGTGTAATTACCAAAAAGTCGAACATGATGGATAAAAAATATAGGTTTGATAGTATTTTTTGGCATGGGTTAAAAGTTTTTGGCATGGGTTAAAATTAGACTAGATGAGAGAAAAATTATGTTAGTATATTTAGACATTTAACAAACACACAATGGATGTCTGTGTGGTAAAGAAATAGAAATCGGCAATGGTGTGCGCATAGCCACGAGTTTCCTAAGGGCATTGAGTTCAAATCCTTCCTACACAAGTTTAAGATAGTGCATCTAACTGAGGAGTAAGGGGCTTTATAATATATTCCACTTGATATAGAGTTTGAAAAAACAGTAGGATATTATTTAACCTATCTCAAAGCTAAGACACATCAATCATTTCAAAAACTAAATTATAAAATAAATGGTCTAAATAAAATTGAATAGCTACATGAAAAAACAGACATGTCTGTTGAGTGATGTTAAAGCACATTGTTTTAAAATGTTAGAACATTGAAGTGTAACAGGCTATGATGAACATTGCAGACATGCCTACCCCTGTCAGCCAAAAGTAGGAACAGTCATGCCTAAAAAGAGGAATTTGAAGCCAAAAAGAGGAACATACGCGCGGACGCAACTTTACTAAGTCAAAAATAAAAATAATTAATTAAAAATTGCTCTAATGACATTAGTAGGCTTCTAGTCCTATATAACTAGTCTCTAGGATACATTTAAATACTGTTTAATACTGCTTAATGTCAGCTTACATTTAAAAAAATAAATTAACCAGTAACCTGAGACCCCCCCCCCCCCCCCCGCCCTGAATAAAAATCATAGCTTTGACATAACATTATTGCTTTGATTATTTATGTCTTGCTATGTTCTAGGCTATATGAATAACAAATGCTGAAGGCTTCATCATATGTAATATATAATATAAGTTACGAGCAAAGACCCTTGATCTACCTAGGAAAACTCCTAGTACTTCTTACTAAGTTCTTCATAATAGTAGTTACTAGTTAAGTTAAACTTACAAGATAGATCAGTATTCACTATTTCAGTATCTACTAGTAGATCTAGAATTCTAGATCTAGTAGTAGTGGATATACTACTAACTAGATCTAGATCCAGTATTAAGTTGATACTTGTAAATATTGTAAGTAGACTAGGAAACAGAAACGTGTGCCAAATGAGATAATCATTTTTTCCTGACATTTTTTCAATTTACTCTATTACCTTTCTTTATTAATTTTTTTTTCAAAAAAATCGGAACCAACTGAGTCAATTTCGGGATGACGGAACAAATTGCTTTTTTAGGTGAAAAAGCGGGACGGTTCCGATTTTGGCGGGACGGTAGGCATGTCTGACATTGAAATGAAGGATGATGAAAAATGAGCACTCAAGTCTGATAATCAAAACTAAATGTGACAGATATAGAAGATGCTTTCTCAGATACATTAGAAATGGAATTCAGTGATATTATTGACCATAAGAATATGACATGCAGTAAAATAACATTCAACTTCATTACTCGCCATATAAGTAAGAAATTGGGTAATATTACTGTTGAGAGCAAGCACAAAACTTTAAACGTTCACAAATTCATTAGGATTGGAATTTATCAAATATAAATAAAAGTTTCCATGCAAATAGTATTTCTTTTAAATAAAAGGGTATATATAAATGATTTATATACAGTGTAAATAGTTTCATCTAAGAATAAATATGAGAGTATATTTAAAGATTAAGGCACCTGGAAATACATAGTGAATAAAAGGAAAAAGAAGGAGACATAAGTCATGGTAACAATCTTAAGGCTTGCTGATGATTTGCATTAATTAGTAGAAATTGTTAACAAAGATTAGGAATAACAAAAAATGTAACTAAAAAAGAAAATAGTAAGTCATGATTGGTATACTAGTACAAATAGTTGAAGAAGACTAGGAATAACAAAATAAATATAACAAAAAAGTTGACAATAGTAAGTCATAGTTGATTTTCTCGTACAAATAGTTTATAAAGACTAGGAATGACAAAACAAATTATAATAAATATAACAAAAAAATAGTAAGTCATGGTCAATAATCTTAAAGCTTAGTGATGAGTTATTTAGTACAAATATTTAACATAGACTAGAAATTAAAAATAAAAACCACAAAATATACTGATGAACTTTAGAGATGAACTCAATAACATAAGAGTAACATAATTAAAACTGTACTGAATGTCAGGTATGATTGCTGATGTCAAGCTACCTACACTAATGATAAATAAATGCATCAATGAGCTCTAGCTATGTGTCTGAGCTTAAATCTGAGCTAAAGATGTCAATGGCAACCGTCCAGCTGGCTAGGTTTTGAGTGCTGGTGTCAATCAAAGCACAATATGTAACACTGGAATGTGTATTGTGGGATGGGGAGTTGTGGGTGGGGAGTGTGTCAGGGTAATTACACCATTAAGCCATTCATTTTTAAACTATGGTGGTCATCTTAACATTTTTCTGTTTCAGGCTAAATAACTCAGGGTAAAATATATCAGAATAAAACATTTTAAAGTTCCCTTTCGAATCTGATGGCTCATGGGGTAAGTGAAGTAGAGTTCACCTGTTTTTTGTGAACTCAGCATATGAAGGGATAGTGTGGTCAGAACTATACCAAGCCGTCTTTAATTTCCCTAACATGAGTTAAGTATCCATCAGAGCTAGGAGGACTCTGGGAACGTTCTACTGTCTTGTACAAAGATTCAAACTCAAGACTTTCGGGTTAGCAGTCTAGCGCTCTACCGCTAGGCCACTCCAACCCACGCAGGAAAAATATTTTGGTATAAAATATCTAAAAAAAAAATATCTAAAGACAAATATTTTGTCTGCGACAAATTATGATATATTATGTCATGTAAACTTTCTTGAAGAAAGTAGGAAGGGTCTTTAAAAATACCTTAGAATCAAACATCAGCTAGCATAGCCAACAGTCAGACTACCTGAGGTTGTATTCAGACAATCACACCAAGTACAATCAACAATTACCTGTATACGATCAGTAAATCAATCATTGTCATAAACAAATAAAAAATAAATCATGGTTTCAATCAGATAGGAGTCAGTCAATTTCTTGTATACAGTTAAACATTTGTATAAAAAAGTCAATCAATAATTTTGAGCCATTGAAAAAAAAAGTTTAGCACATGATTAATTTAAATAAAATATTCTGCGCCTAAGTAAACATTAATTGAAGGCACTTGCATAATGAACACAGCTGATCTTAAAGCAGAGTGTAAAAACAAAAACCAACCCCAATATCTGGTGTAAATATACTGGTACAATAATATTTTTAAAATATGGAATATTGTAACAAAACAAAACAATTTCTAGGCATTAGAAAGTTTGTAAGCAATCACAGAAATGTAGAACATTATGGTTTTTTGGAATCTCATCACTCAAGGAATGTAGCATAGAGAGTAGAAAAGATAATTAAAAATCAATTACAACAGATTAAAAATTAATTGTTACATATATTGCACTTTAACTTTGGTTGTGATGTTGAGACAAAATATTTTAAAACAAAATAAAAATTGTGTAATTAAATAATTGCACTTGATAAAAAAAAACCAAATGATTTCTCTATGAATGAGGAAACTATTATGTCAACATTGTTTTAATGATAAACTAAACTGATAATACTATAATAAATAAAATGTTTAAAATGTAGGCCTATTCAAATTAAAATTTTGACCAAAATAAAGGGAGGTAACAGTTATTAATCAAATTTTCCCTCAGAAAATTGAATTAATTGCACTTGGAATGGAGAGGAAATAAGACAAATCAATAACAAAATTCAGATATAAAAATATCAAATGGGAATTCTGTAATAAGAAAACTAATTTTAAAAATAAAACTGCTTAATACTTAAAATGGAATGGAACATAAGGTTAAAAAGGCAAACATTACAACTGAAAACAAATACTGAAATTGAAAAAGAACACTCATCATACAACAATTGTTTCAAATTGCCATAAAGCTGGTCATTAATAGAACTTTTTGAACTTTTAAAAAAGTAGCAAGGCAGTTGGAAAAGGATAAAAAAATATATTACATGATAACAATTTTACACTTGTAAAATAAAACAGTAAGGCAGATGAAACAAGATTTTTTTTTTTTTAGAAGTATTACATGAGAGCAATTCTCTGACTAGTTGCTTAAAGGTGCCTCTCAATGAGTCTAGGTACAGATTTGTTAGCATATAAACCTTAGTGATCCTTGAGAGCCATTTCTAACCAGTCTTCCTCTTCATCCTCTGAGTTATCAGACTCACTACGCAGCAGCTTGATGTAGCGCACCTTCTCTTTATGGGGAATGCACATCTGGATAAGTGAAAACAAAACAAACCACAAGCCCGTCACAACACTGCCGCCAATAAACAGAACAGATGAGCCATAAGAATGATACACCATGCCAGCTATGAAACTTCCTGCTGAGAAGCCAATGCCAAAGTAGAAAGAGGAGAGGATAGATCTGAAAGTTCTGTCTTGTGTAGCGCCTATATTGAAGTCATCATAGCTAAGAATAGCAAACCAAAGAGTTGTGTGTGTGACACCATGGGTAAGCTCAATGGGAAGGATCGCCCATGGGTACGGGATAAAAGCGTAGTACAAAACACGGAGGCTGAGTACTAACAATGCCACAGACACCATCCAAGACGGGCCTAATTTTTTAACCAACCGTCCACTCATTAGTAACATTGGGATCTCAGCAAAAGCGCCTATCGAGACACACAGACCCATGGCAGTTTCTGATGATCCGAGATCTTGCATTCTCCAAAACAAGAAGTTGTGGTAGGCCGCGTACACTGTGCCTGTAATAAAAAGGGTGACAGAAAACAAGAAACCACGGCCGTCACAGCAGACTGTACGCAAACCCTTGCATAACTTAGACGTGTGTTTGCTGTTTACAGGCGGGGGAACAGGGTAGCAGCAGGAGATGACTAAAGCAGCAGCCATTAGAATAGCAAAGATATAAAAATGCAGCAGATAGTGATGGAGCTGGTAGGGAAGGAAGCAAGGGGTGTGATCAACAGCCACAGTAACTATGATAGGAACCAAGACAAAAGCAATGGAACCCCAGAATCTTTGCTGACCGTATCGCTCCAAGTCATCAATCCGATTCAGGAAGTCAAACCAGGAGTCGTCCGCTACTTTTTCCACAGGGGAGGCAAAAATTTCCCCAAAAACAACAATGGCTAAAACAACAAGAAAAAGTAGAAACTTGTCTCTCTGTAAGGTAGTCTGGATGGTGTGGAGCTTGTCCTTGAGGTCATCAAGGCTGGGCCACTCACTGCGTTTGTTGAGGTGGTGACTCACAGATTCTTTTGATCTACGTGATCGGGGCTAATGAAAGACAAAGGGAATCAAAGTAAGAGATGGCTTTCTTGTTTAAAGTATTTATTATAGTATACTAACATATCTGTAAGCTAAGATGAAATTGTTTTTCTAAACACAATATAACCAAATGGCAAGATATATAACAGTGACCAAAAAGGTAGATAAAGAAGCATACATCAGTTTCTGTATAGTTAGAAACAAGAAAAATGGCCAGTAAAATCTTTAGCTGCCCTTCTTTACTTTGATAGTGATGAACTTATTAGAACTTTATGACCAACAGTACTTGCTATGTTTACTTGCAACAGATTAACCTCTTCAACCCTACATCACAAGTAATTTTACTTCCAATTATTTAATTTTTAATCTCTGTTCATTTATTTACATAATTAAACTTTTTATTAAAATCTTGCTTAATTTAACATGGCTTGCCTACCTTTGTTGGTTGTCTTTCCTCCTTCAGGTAGCTGCTTAGTTCATTTAACTGGTCTTTAGAAGAATTGCTGAATAACGGTTGTAACAAAGTACTTAATTCTGAAATAGTAATCTTGTTGAGGTCAGAGTCTGTGAGGTTCAACTTATTCAATATCGCAAGAATTTTCTCGTCAAGCTGGATTTGATCCTCTGTTCCCAAAATTCCAGGAGGGTTTTTCTCTTTCATAGTATCGATGTCAGTCTGGTTAACACTGGCGTTAACAGCAGAGGTCAAACTTTCAGCTGTGGTGCTGGTTGATAATGTAGACTGTGTTGTCAAATGTGAAAGGGAACTGAATGTAGAATTAAATCCTGTCGTTGCTGCAATATCTGGATTCTCTGTTGATAAGATGGGACTGTCTGTGGTTGATTTCAGGCTTTCTACAGGGTATTCTGTATCTAATGAACCTGTGATATTCGGTGGAGAGGGGAGGCAATGTTGTGGACTTGAAAGCTGGGTGTATAGCGCAGGGAAGGATAAATACGTCACCATCATCATAAATAATGAAAGCATGAGAACAAGCCTGTGCCTGTTGTAGGCAGTCGCACACCGAGACCATAACGGCGCCCAAATAAGACTAGTCAATGTCTTGGCTGCAATTATGATGCCAGCATCCAACGCATTTAGTCCAACAAGGCGGAAGAACAGCGTGAGGAATGGAATGACTGCAGCTTTTCCACCATGAAAGAACAGGTAGAAAAGGTTCGTTAAGGTGGAGGCTTTAGAAATGTTAATTGTGTCTAGTCCTCGAGTCATGATGAACTGCTTAAACTGTGACCTTACAATGAGGGAGTGTCAGTTAATTCCTCCAAACTTCTGCTCATAATTGACTATAGGCCTATAACTGTTTAAAAAAAAGGGTGGAATAGACAATAAAAATTTAAAAGTATTAAAAAGTGGTTAAAAACAGAGTAAGAATGGTTAAGAAAAGAATATAGTAGTAACTAGTAAGTATAGGCCTAATTCCTACTGTATCCTTTATTTAAAAATAACGATTTCCTAGCGATTGTGTGTGTTTCGGTTGTGTTTATAATAAAATACGCTCAACCGGAGGTGAACGTGAAACGGCGTATAAAAATTAAAATACGCTAAGACTAAGAAAATCGAGTTTTACCGCTAGCCGCTAGCTACGAGAGGAGCTTACACTTTTCGGACACACATAGCGAAAAAACGCAACGTAAAAATTCCATGCGGTCTCATTCAGTAACCGCTTAACATAGAAAACAAAAAAAAGTATCATATCTATCCGCAACCATTCTACTTTAATAATGTGTGTGTCATTTTGTATTCATACGCATAGAACTTAAGCTATTCTTGTTATAGTGACTGGGGGGTCTTAACGTGTGTTCGAACACATGTAATACAGTTTTACATGTGTTCGGACACCTTTACCCGTCATCGGACATAGCACTTTTTGTTCATTTAGAATAATTTAAAGTCAATTTAATGAATAAAAACATATATTATATGCATTTATATTGTGTTATTGATTGTTTGTGAGGTAATTTTAATAGTATAAAACCTTTTTCCCACACTCCCAAAGTTCATCCCATTCAGCCATTGCGGCTCGCGCAGTACGCTGCTAAGCCAGCCAGGTCACATGATTCCCTCTCCTCTTTCGCATTCCACTGCCTTCTTGACCTTATTTTGACCCTTTCCCTTCAATAACCAGCCCCTTTTATGCTCTAAATTCTTATTTAATAATATTTTTGTGTTGCTGTCCGGTCCCATGTAAGGCCAAATAAGTTAGCGAACACCCCTTTTTTATTGTTCAAGCACAAAAAAAACCATTAACCTTGACATTTACGATGTTCCATACATATATAGAAGCTATTTATAGTGTAACCTTTTAGCTAAGCATTGATTGGTTCAAGTTTTGCCCCTAAGTCCAACCCTAGGTCACTTCATCCGGCTGGTGTAAAAATAGAAATGTGCGTACCATGCAACGTTAAAAAATTTCTAAAAATAATTCTTGAGAAAGGAAACGGAAGTACTTGACACGGAAGTGTTCATAAATGAACAGTTTACGTGCAGGCGCCGTGGTTTCGCGTGAGACATGCTAATTAAAGTTTCTATGAGCCAAAAACCGACGAAGTGTTCGGTCCTACGTAATTTTTGGTGTGTGTCCGAAAAGTGTAAACTCCTCGATCTACTATTTTACTAAACTAATAAATAAATCCTCCTAAAAATGTGAAATAATTACTAATGAGTCATCTTTTTTTCACAATACTAGCCTCGGCCGATTTTTCTTAGACCTACCTAAAAGTAAAAAGTTAGTAAAACACTACGATAGATTACCATTAGAATTTTAAACATTGAGTAAAAAACGAAAGTGAACACTAAAATGATACATTACAGGAAGTAGATCGACATGTCAGAAGACGGAAGTAAATGTATTTGTAGCAGTATCTAGACTAGTATCTGGATCTAGATCTATAAATAAATCTACCGTGTTTGACCCCTGGTGCTTAAAAATAATACGGAAACGCAGCATTATGACAGCCAGTAAAAAAAAAAAACTTTGGATGGGTATGGCAGTAGCGTAGCGAGGGGGGGGGGGGGGGGGGCGGACATATGTCCCTGGGCGCCGACCTTAGGGGGCGCCAAAATGGGTTGGAAAAATAAATTGAAAGGTTGAGGGTGGTGCAAATCGAAAGTTTGAGGGGGGGGGGGGTGGTGCAAATCGAAATCTTGCGGGGGGTGCAAATCGAAAAGTTTGTCCCCGGGCGCCGGGTAAGGTCGCTACGCCTCTGGGGTATGGGACTAACTTTGATACGAAGTGAGCTACTTCTTAGATAGTATTCCAGTTGTGATCGCCACGGTTACTTTGGTCAGGGTTGACAAAAGGGGAAACAATGAAGCCTATCGAAGCACGCACTTTCCCATAATGCCATAATATAAATGTAGGACTTTCAGTACTAAAAATTCTCGTGTTTATGAAAGAGGTGATGTACTGTCCATATGACATCACGCTTTTTGACGAACCATATAAATGTTCGATCCTATTGGCGCAAAAAGTGCAATTCAACCACCCCTCCTCATTTTTTAAAATAACGTTATAAATGTATGAGTCTCTGCAATAACAGTAGAGAATTGAGACTTCTGTGTAATTCTCAAAAATAGGCCTATATGTTGCATTTTTAAACAATAAAATTAGAAATTTTCGAAACTTAGGCTATTAATAAAGCATTTTTAGGGTTATTTGAATGCGTATGTCGTCTCGTGGCATTTTAATTACGTGTATTTGAAGTATGTTCCGAAAATGGCATGGGTAAGGGGGAGATTATCGACTAATATGAAAACATGTAATGCGGCTCCAATAAACTACTGGGAATGATCCTTTCTCTTCTAATGGTAATACCCAAGGTCAGTGTTTCTTTCAGACTTTTTTCTCCGGAAAGGGGGGGGGGGGGGCACTTGAAATTTTCGGGGGGGGGGGGCGGTAGACTTTCTTCGGGGGGGGGGGGGGGGGACACTGTTAAAAGTATATATTTTCTATATAAATTATATAAATTTCATTTCGCTCGGGGGGGGGGGGGGTGCGGTAGAAATTTTTCGGGGGAGCTTCGCCCCACCGAAGAGATGCCTGGAAGAAACTCTGCCCAAGGTACTGCTGACCCTTACTCCATTCACGCCACGGGATCAATGAAAGTTCATGACCCTCTTTGTAAGACTTTATTTTTAAATTGTATAGGGAAAACATTAAGATTCTCTAAATTCGTCATTTAAATTTTTCATACTTGTTTATATTTTTCCAATAGATAAAATCTTAACGCGAACGGAGATCTATTACATTTCATTTACGCTTAATATTAAATGATAGACTACATAGGCTTATGAAACACAAATAAACACTGTATCCATTCGAATAACCGATTTACTGTCGTAAAGTTATGCAATACATTTGTACATGTATTAAAAGTATTTTACACATTAATTATGAGTTTTTAAAGTGGCTAATTAGTTTGCGAATAAAAACTATATCTATATGCATCTACTGTTTATATGGCATATGGTTATATGTTTACTCACATTACGACGAATTTGCTAAATTTATATTGTTTTGCCAGCGTGTAAACTAGAATTGGACGAAATGAATATTTATGACAAACGGAATCGACTTTCATCATTTGGCTCACTGTTATGCTCCGTTAAGATCTAGTCTGGCCTTTAGGCTTTAGTAAGTCGCCTTAGCCTATATTATTGTCCAATCCCATTAATGCCCATGAGCTGTTGTTTTTCATTCATGAGCCATCTCATATTACTTGACTTTGTATTAGTCACCAAGCAATAAACTATATTCAAAGCCATCATTATTTACAAGCACTCATAACCAAAATGACCGCAATTCTTGTTTAACGTAACACTGGCTTGTAAAATGATTATAAGTATTTTCTAAAATGTAAACAGAATATTAGAAAAGCATGTACATTTTTCAAATTGGACGAGGTAGGTAGTAAACAAAGATATCAAATAGATCTATGTCTGAAAGCTCGATTACTCCGTTTTTGACCTAGGTATCGATATTGTCCATAAACACCGTAAACGACCAAGATGGCAACCCCGGTTCCTAGTACTTCTCCCGGTTCCCCATCAGCAACTAAACAAGAATTATCTATGGAGGAGGATCAATCTCCTAAAACAAAGGGTGCTCACGGAGACTTTTCTTTGGAAAACAACTTTTTAAGGGTATATCTAAATCAATGCTCATTTGTCTTTACTAACCCACTTTGAAAACTTGATCCAGTGAGACTGAAAGTTGAATAAGAGAAAAAAAAAAGCGCTTGTTGTTGTGGTTGAATGATTGTCTTTTGGCGACTTTTGGTCTCATTTGAGCTGAGCCATTATCATATTTATGGGAAATATTGGCCAAGCGGTAGAGAGCTGGATTGCTAACCTGTAAGTCTAGAGTTCGAATCCCGGTTCAAGTAAGTACACCGTCCCCGAGTCCACTCAACTCTCATAGCAGGGCATAGTGCTGACCACACTACCTCCTCATATGCTGAGGTTACAGAACTTGCCCCTTATAGCGTCTGGTTTGAAAGGGAACTTTACTTTTTTACATTATGATATTCATTATTATTATTCACAAGCCTGATATAGACTCTAGATCTACATTTGACTTGAGAATGGTATTGAGTGTAGGGCAGTGTAGGCCTAATTGTTAATCTATCATTTTAGTTTTAGGACCCTAAAATCTGTCAAAGCTAGTAAATAGAGGACCTAGATTAAAGATCTAGTATTGAGTAATGAAAGGGTGACTATTAAAATTTCAGTAGGGCCCTACCCAATTATTTCACAATATTAGGCCTACAAACTACAAGGATTTAATTAGAAGTTTGCCTATGTTTTAAAAGTTATAAAGATGTTTCATTTGTAGATTTTCTCACTAAATCTTAAATTTACTCAATTTACAATTTAAACATGATCACAGTATAATAGAAATCCATATTTAATCTATTAGGCACTAATTTTGAGGTTTTTAGTTAGTTTTTAAACTAATTGAAATTACTTAGGCCTAATTAAAAATATATTGTCACTCACATCTATAATACGCCACATCCCTCCATAATAACCACCCTTGTGTTTGAAGCTACAAAAAGCAATGAATCCGGTTTGACTTTTTAACTGGCTATGCACAAGAGTTCCTCATTAGCCTAGTGATCACCAAATAGTGGTTGTTTTTTTTTTAATTTGGTTGTCGTTTTCTTGGCCAGTCTCATAAAAATACGGCTGACAATATTTGATTTATTTTTTAATAGACTGATAAACCTAATAATGCTTCAGTATGGAAATCAATTTTGTACTATAGAAATTTATATTTAAAAAGTACTAGTATTTTTAATGAAACCAACTTTTAAATTTAGCCTTCATTCTCCAACGCAAATTTTGAAATGCTTTTCTGGCATGCATATATAGCCCTGCTACCTATAGTTTGTTGTTATATTGTGAAAACCCCGCCATTCTGCTGGTGGTTAACATTTTTAAAAGTAATTTGTAGAAGGTCACTTGAATTGGGCTACAAAATCGTCGGAAGTCATTCGTCCGGTCCGGACGCCATATTGTTGTTAGCAACCGACCACGCCTTCAAGTTAGAGTAATACTATCATTTAGGACCCTGGGCCTACCTATTTTTAAAGTATTTTAAACAATTTTATTAAAACATTTCAGTTGCCTAACAAATAATCTAAATAAATAAAAATTAGGCCTAGATTAATGATATTGTTACCAGATGTAACCAAGCTTGTTAACTTAGCAGTCACCTTTGTTTTTTTGTTTTTTTGTTAAATTTTTTTTTTGTGTTTTAATTAAATTAATTAGAATTCCAACTGAAAACACTCTCATTTACAGATGGCCACTGTTTATTGGCCCTACCTATAGTAAATCTTGCTCTCAAACACTGCTGTTCTAAGTTAATTACTGATTTAGTAGACATTACACACAGTTTTTTATTCAATTATCTATTATGTTTGACACATATAACACATTATACTTGTATTAAAGACATATTTATTTGCACCTTTCTCTCACATTACTAACTTCGGCCAATTTTACTGTCCTAAAACATTAGATTACCTTTTGAATTTAGTTATTTAAGGGGATATGCGCAGAAAAAAATCACAAAATTTCTTGTTTTTCGTCATGATGGGTTTCTTGCACTTTTGGATACTTTGTCCATTTTTGTATAAAGAAAATAATAACTTTAAAGAGAAAAAAATATTTTATTTGTTTGAATTACGATTTTTATGACCCTATTAATTAAAAAATAATAAATTTTTCCCAATCTTACAAGATCTCTATGAAAAGTTTTATATCCATCATTATATTGTATTTGACATCATTGGAAAGCTGGATTTCTCATGTATCTAATAAACTTAATTTCCTACATATGGGAAATACCCAAAGCTTACAATCGGCTTTGCAGTTTACACAGATGTGGTACTTTCCTGACCTAGTTTTCGTTACTTTTGGCTGTTTTTCTCAGTTCGCATGTTTTTAACACTAAAAAGCCTACTACTTTTTTATTTATTAAACAATGCCAACCATATTTTCAGTACTTGTTCTTGATATAAAAATACATCTTTTGTCACGAGGGAATTGTGATTGCTTTCATAGAAAAAAAGTATTTGGTAATTAATATGCAAATTTTGAAACTATTGAATACTAAAAAGGGTACGATTTTTTAGACCTTGTAAAATTCTTACTAGTAATTATTTCAAAAAGTTGTCGTGACAAAAGTTTTAATATATACTGAAATATAAGCAGTTTAAATTTGATTGCTATAGGCGCATAAATAAAAAAGCCTTAGTATTTTTAAAAGTACCAAAAAATTCAAAATGGCGGAGGTTTTTTGGGTTTCCATGACAACCAAAATTGTTTTCGACCCTTTTTTTGCTGTTTAATAATTACTTTTATATGCCAAATATGATAAAAGAATTCAAAAGGCTTTAGATCTTAAACTGTAAAAAATAGAAAAAAACATAGCATATCCCCTTAATAATAACGGTTACAGTAGTAGATCACTAAGTAGATTAGAGACAACACAAAAAGTCTCAAAATGACCACTAACATTAATTTTATTCAAATCACATAGGATGTCTTTAAAATAAATGAAACCGGTTAGGTCTAGAGAGTGGCTATATATAAAACTATAGGCCTACTGAACACTACACCTATGGTGTATGTAGTTGTATCTATTCAACTGTGCATAATATCATATGACTTATTTTAATTATTTATTTATAGCAAAGTAGCATCCATGCGTTTGGCCCATCTTTTTTGTTTCAAATTCCACTTTATTTGACTTCCCACATTTGGTCACCAGGGGTGCCCAACACTGATTAAAGAAAATACTTCTTATATAAATTATATATTTTTTCTGCTCTAACCGTACAAATGTTGAATTTTTTTAAATATAATTAGCCCAGGGCGCCTAATTGCACCCTGCCTGGAGTGCCGCGGATGCACCTGATTATGTTTAGTTAACTACTCTAATACCCTATCTTATTTATAGTCTTTTGCTGTTAAGAACGAACATAGGCGGCATAGCGCTCATGGTAAAGACTGGGGCTCCTGAATTGCACCCTGCCATGGTGCTGCCCGCGTGAGAGTGAAACAATTTTTTTTTGTAGGGTAAACCTTCCCTTAGGTATTCTCATCAACTCCCTTAAAGTTTCATGGTGATTGGATGAAAATTGTAGTAAAAACACACACACACACACTTTCATTTAAATATATGTATATATATAGATATTGATGTCATTATTCCTGTAACAAATCATTTATGCTGAAACATTAATGTATCAGCTTGATAAGGTTAGAATCAATAAACAACAGCCCTGAGCCTATAAAAATGGAAACAAGAACACAAGAGAATCTATACTATTAACACATATTGTAGGGTTATATTTATGATGATTACACAAAGTAACAAGGGAAACTGTAAATTAATCTTCTTAGGATATGTAGACTGGTAGAGAATACTGAGAAATTTTGTTGCAATCTTGTCATGACTCACTCTAGGCATTTGTTTTGTTTGGAATATATTTTCTGTTTATTATTTTATGGTATTCTATTTGGAAGATTGTTCCATAAATGAACTTTTTAACAGTCAGACAATAAAGTTACATTACCAAAAGTGGTTTCTTTTTATAAGTTTGTTAATAGAGGTAAGCTTTTAATGTACACACTGTGAAAAATGTAATTCTTACCTTATCATCTCACATATACTTGGGGGGGAGGGGGGGGGGGGGCTGCAGATGGGAAGTAAAACAAACACTAAGCATCTATTGTTATAATCTGATTAGTATCATTGTGAATTTGTAAATTGTTGAACTTTATGATCACAAAACTTTGTAAATAAATAAGATAATGATCTAAAAAAAAATATTAGGTCAAGTTACAACTTACCTTCTTCTTCTTCGCTCTTAATTTTATTGTTGGAAGAGATTCCTTCCAACACAATTAAGTCAATTGGTTATGCGCCATTGACTAATTGACAACTTACATGAAATTCAAGGTTGATTTTTTAAAAATTATATATTAAAAATATTTGAGATAGAGTTGTGCATTAATTAGATTTTCATTGCCCTTTTAATTCAGAATTTAGTGGACCCAATGACTGACGAGCTGGAGAGAAGTGTGGCCAAAACTAATGCCATACTGGACAAGATGAGCAGGTCAGGGGTCATTTCCTTCTATTATAGACAAAAAACAAACCAATCATTACATTGATGCTCTATCATAAAATTTGATCATAATTCATTGAGTTCTTTGCACTAAATAGTTCAATTTCTGTTTCACATTTTATACAGGATAAAACTACAAAACTGTATAGAAACTTCTTCAAAACTATTTTAATGCAATTAAAATTGAAAATATTATTATGTTAAGTAGTTCTAATAAAATATAACATCCTAATTATTTTAAATTGACCAAAGACATTAATTATTAAAAGAAAATTCATTGGTCAGCATTTTAATAGATACTTGACAAGGTGCAAACCTAGATTGATTTTTTTGTTCTAAATATTGATTACTGTAATAAAAGCTATTTTTAAAAAAGTTGTACACTACAACTTGAATGTCAATTGTTAGTTTAGCCCAGTAGTATGAAGTGAAACCAAATATTGATGTATACCAGTGTTTCTGACCTTTAACACATGCTGGTGTAACAGGTGTTCAGTGTGTAGTTGGTTGTGTTCAGAGCTGTGGTTGACAGGTGCACTGTAGGCTCTTTAGTATGTCTGAAAATGTTCTCCTTCGATCTATGTACAGTGACTTAGAGGCTGAGAGAAAACAGAGGTTTAGAAAAATTCTTCATCCACATATTCCTGAGGAATTACAAGGAGGGTGAGTACCAAAAATATTATTTCATGTCACATGATCATGTTTAATGGAAACAGCTGTGATCATACTTGTTCTAACTGTATTTCTTCATTATTTTAAGCCATAAAATTAAATAAATTTCCATTCGTTTACTTATTGTTTACATGAAGTGAAGAGTTTATTTGTTTAAAATAAATTGAATTTCATTTATTTTTTTTTTCATTAAGAAAAATAAATAACTTAGTAATGTTTCAGTTCAAGACACTTTATTAAAAGCTGCTAAAAGTAAAATTTTAGTTGAATATGCTTCTCATGAAAAGCTTTATATCAGGACTAATTTAAAAATATCGATAATATGAGGATGTTTTATGTGTATAATATTGTTTATAAATTAACCAAACAAATTATTCTAGAGGTAAAAAAGAAGAAGAGGTCATGCAATTAGTAGACCAGCTGGTGTTTTATGAAGAGATCAATGATGGACAGGAGGAAGTTGAACTTAAGTAAGTCAAGGCTGTGGTTATAGTGTTGTGGACAGCAGTAGATATGTAGACAGTTAAACTACATTGGCCTAGCCTTTAGATATGCCCTTTCTCCAATAATTCCAGTTTGTTTTAGCTTATATTTTATTTTCTTCCTATCTTATTGCGGCTGGTTTTGATTACTAGATATCTCAAAACCATTGAATCTTTAAAACAGGGGAGGTGGTGCAACTTTATGTCTAAGCTATCTCATACATTTAACAACAGATATAGTGGAGCAAAAGACAGCAGTTGTTCAATGATTTAAAATATCATAGGGTCTAAATGGAAAGCTAGAAATTAAATAAGATCCTGATAGCATTTATAAAATGTATCACTTCTAACTACAAACGTATCAAGTTGAATTTGACTTTGATGTTGAAAGAAATAATGTATTATAGGCAATAGTTGTTGATACAATCTAAACAATCTATAAAATAGTCTAAGACAGACAATTGTATTTTTGATGTAGTGAATCAGCCCAGCTGCAGGATCTAGACGAGACAGCCAAACTGACGGTGACAGCCCACAGCCTGGCTGCCCACTTCACAACATTAGAGCCTGCTGCCTTAGAACGAGCTGCATCAAAATTAGACTCTGACTGCAAGCTATGGCTATCTCGGCTCTTTAGGTACGTCGCTGTAGCATAGATTCTTGACTTTGGTCAAGTTTATAACACACATTGTGGATTTGTTTTTAGTTTATTTTACAATGACTTGTGTTGTTGAACCTATGTTATCTAATCATGAATAAAGAAGTCTCAAATAGTGTTTTTTTTTTATTCATTACATGAAAACATATAACATGTGAAATATGTTTGTGTAGGTTCAAGAACTCTGTTCCTGTGTACCATGATAAAAGGTATGAAGGACTTGCTCGCATTTGTCAACTAGCCTTGTACACTAAATATCCCAAATATGCCACAGAAGGGTTTGAAGCCTTATACTCCCGCCCACCTGTTATATACATCAGTGCGTCAGCTCCACCTGGACTAGGGCAGTATCTTTGTCAACAGGTATTTTGTGTGTAGCACATTTTAAAAAAATAATCTGAGTTAAAATAGTTTAAAAAGATAAGGGAATTTAAAAATAATTGTACTTTTTATTAAATGTTATTTTTTTTTAGAGTAACATATAGGCCTACATAATATTTGAATAAAAGAGTGGTTTTTTTTTAAAATCTATTTTAATACAGCAAGTTTTTAAAAAATTATTGTGTTTTTGTTCTAGCTTGGGCTTCCATTATCATGTACATGCACAGTGCCTTGTAACACACACTTTGGAGCTAGTAGTAAGATGGTAAGTGATATCTTGGTTTTGTAAGGATAGATTATTTCATCAGCAAACTATACACATAGTAGTACTGTTTCAAGGCACGGAAAACAAAATGGTAGTGTGTTAATTAAAAGATATAATTATGAAGAAAAGCAACTTTAACTGTCACCACTAAAAGATTTTCAATTAGGTCTGTTGTTGCTGTTGACTTTTTCTAGTTGCTTTCTTGTGAAAGGGTTAAATTTTTTTACTTAGCATTTTATTTTGTTTTTAAAAACACCAGGATGTCGCCATGCTAGAGAAACTCATACAAGATGATGTAGCTGCTGCTAAAACTCCTGTCCTGCTGCTGGCTTATGCAGGTGATACTTCAGTTGTTCATATGTCAGGGATCTTTATTGTAAAAGTTTACATTTAACACAGGGGCAGTTATGTTATAGTTGTGGAAGTTTAGAGAAATCAAACAAAAGTTTCTTGCTTATACAATGTGAAATGTATTTTGTTTTCATGGTATAAGGCTAAATTTGGGATGTGTATTTAGCATATGCTGTAGCTGCTGTGTACTTATCAAATGTTATTTTTTGTGCAATCACCAGGGACCCCTATTGTAGGACATGTAGATAACTTACAGAGACTTCAAGAAATTTCTAAGGCAAACAACATTTGGTTGCATGTTGAGGGGTAAGTTAGTTATTAATAGCTGGTTGCATGGAATTCACTTTAGGTGTATGTAATTGTTGTAGGTCATTGCTGTGGATGATTAGTGAGAGTAATGATTTTTTACTGTTTGACAGACATAATCTGGCAACTTTAGCCATGTTTTCTGTGCCAACATCTGTCGAGTCAGCAACTTCTGGTGACAGTATCACACTGGATCTTTCTAAGTGGTTGGGTGTGCCCTCTTTGCCATACATTGTATCCTTGCCTCGATCATTTAATGTACCAGGCTTATTCTGGTCCAAATTTTTTATTGTACAAAACTACCCTATTATATTACATCTTTACTGGTCAGCCATTGTTTGTCAAAGTAACAGCTTGTATCAGAGTTCTGTAGACAATCTTCCCTTAACCATGGATTAGACACTGTTTAAAGATTCTGACCAGAGTATGACAGACGCTGCAGGTCTGACCACTGTAGATGCCAAGCTTCAGCTGAAATGTCTACCCCTCTGGATGTGTTTACAAAGTCTTGGACATGAGGGCATGGTCAACAGGATCAAGCACTCGTGTGAACTGGTAATATAACCTTGACCACATCAGCTACTAGAATAATGAAATGATACATTGGTTTGTTATTATAATTCAGGAAATTTGTCATGTGAACTGGTAATAAAAACTTACCATATCAGCTACTAGAACAATGAAATGATACATTGGTTTGTAATTATAATTAAGGAAATTAATTTGTTTTATGTCTGTCTTGTAGGCTAAAACTTTATTTGATCACTTGGACAAGTTATCTACAGTTAAACAAATTGTAAGTATAGCATTTGAAAAAGAAGACTGATTATTTTGCTTACATGGCTATTTTACAAATTTTTATTAGCACTGTGATTGTGATTACAATTTGTGTAATTATGTGTATTCTTACAATGGAATTGTAAGTTATATTAATTGTATTATTTAATATATTTTGAAACAAGAATTGGAACATGTTTTTAGCATGCCTGCAATGACTTTATTTTTAAAAAAATGTATGTTTGTTGTTGTGTTGAAAATTGTTTTATTCAACTTGTAATGTGGCAATTGTTTATTTTTTCTAGAGTCGAGACAGAAAAAAACGAGACAAGGAAGTTAAAAACATCAAAGACCTGATTTCTAAGGCAATAAGTGCTCTAGTAAGTAGCTGAATTTCATTGTTATTACTTCCTGGTTTATATAAATATATATATATATATATATATATATATATATATATATATATATATATATATATATATATATATATATATATATATATATATATATATATATATATATATATATATATATATACCAGTTGTTTCTGCAGCAGATTGATTTTCTAGTAAATTGAATGTATACTTTACTTTTTGTACTCAGGTTGTGTTTGAAATAGTGACACCCACAGTTGTGTTTAAATATGCTGAGGATGTGTTAGCACCTGGTGCTGTTGTAGCACCTTACTCTACTGTCAAAATGGAAGATGACAATGAGGACAAAGATAGTGTATATTTTGACGCTCTCAACACATGGGTATTAATTTTGTTCTTTCTCTGATTGTTTTTTTTTTTAAATAGTAAGCAACAAAACACAGTATATCCTCTTGTATACTATTGCCATATGCCATAGGAGACAACATACTTAATTTGATATTCATGCACCAGAAAACATAATGATGCAACTGTCAATATTCTGTTGTGTTTTTTGTTTTATATACAGTATTTAAAAAAGCATTAATGCTACTCCCACTTACTAAATATAGCTTAAGATTTTTTTAAAGAAGTTTCCAGCTATATTAACTCTGACCTATATTGTGGCCTCAAGTAATTAATATTGCTTTAAAAGTGTCAAAAGAAATATTTTCAAGTAATTTCTGCCAAAAGTTATCAGGTTATACATCCTTAATTAGCAAAAAAGAGTAAATGAATTCATTGTTTATTATTTGTCAGTATTAGAAAACACTAGCTCTTATGGTTTGTAGGTTGTGATGTTTTAACCTGTGCTTACACTATATATCCAAAATATTGGTTTAATATTTAAACTGCTTACTCCTCAGTTAGCTGAAGCTTTACAAGTGTCTAACCCTAACGTCCCCATTGACCTGGTTGAAGTTGACAAAGAAGGAGTTTGTATTAGATATTCCCCACTTGAAACAGCTCAAGGTATGATAATTACAAACCCATTGCCCCAGTTTGTATTAGATATTCCCCACTTGAAACAGCTCAAGGTATGATAATTACAAACCCATTCTCCCACTCAAGGTGTGATAATTACAAACCCATTCCCCCCACTCAAGGTGTCATAATTACAAACCTATTCCCCCCACTCAAGGTATGATAATAGCAAATTACATCAGCCATCTTCCAGTTCTGAAAGCTATCTAATACTAATGTGTTAATATTTTTCAGTGAAGGGTACAACTAAAGAACACGTTGAACAATTTGTAGAATCTCTAAAATCTAATCTGGTGAGTTGCTTTCACATGAAATTCCTTTTAGTTTTAGTACACAGTGTACTAAATTTGTGTTAAAAGAATGTTTGTATCTAGACTAAATAATTGACAACTATACTTGCAGAGTGTATTGAATGCTACAACTATACAACGGAAGAGATTCAAGTCAATAGTCTCAAATCACAGTAATTTAAGCCTGGTTGATTTGGATTCCTGGGCCGGACTTGGAGCTGTATGGTACTGTGACTATTTATGGAAGTTAAGATATTTTGGGGGGGAAAAATGTAACTATTTTATAAATTAAGAGAATTAGATGAATTATTAAATGCAACCCAGCTTTGTCTCTTAAACGTTTGTCAGAATCTACAACTTTGTCCTTGAATAATGTCTTTATTCATAATCATCTGTATCATTTCATTTGTCTTTTTTATTTATATCCTAATCCCCAGCAATATCCCTCCCTGCATTTTCTTATCCCCAGCTATATCCCTGTCTTTATATCCTGATACCTAGCTATATTCGTGTGTTTATATCCAAATCCCCAGCTATATATCCTTGTGTTTATATCCTAATCCCCAGCTATATACCTGTGTTTATATCCTAATCCCCAGCTATATCCCTGTGTTTATATCCTAATCCCCAGCTATATCCCTGAGTTGTATATCCAGAAAGTGGGTGAGCTGACAGAGAAGGAGAGAACTGATATCAACAACTTGAATGCTGAGTTAGTGCACAAGCTCAAGGCGCAGGACACAGCTTTCTCAACAGGTCACAGTTTGATTCTTTTAGTCATGAGTTATACACCAGCAGGCAGCATTATTGTAATGATAAACTCATATCATCTTGTTTTTATTTTAATTTATTTGTTGTTTTGTTACTTTTAAGTAATGTAGTTGATGAATGTGTTTGATCTTGGTTGTCCTGACAGGTCACACAGCCAATGGCATGGTTTGTGTACGCTTTGGTCTGATCACCACAGACACAGATGTGGATGAGCTGGTCTCTCTGGTATACAACATTGGTAAAGACGTGGAGGAGAGCTCTAAGGTAGGACATATTTTTTCACATGGAGTTACATTAGCAGTTCCAGTAAACATTCTGTATTCACAAGTTTGTATTTAAAATATTTGCATGGTTTTACTAACTTTCTATCCCAGTTCCTGGAGTCTATGTCAGAGATGATCAGGAAAGGAATAGAGGAGGCAAATAAGGAACTGGAGAAGGAAAATACAGAGAAACTGTTGCATGAGGTTAGCACACATATCGCATTTATCTTTAACTAGCTACTTATTTAATTTTATAATTAACTTGACTTTCTTCTTCCTCCCCCTCCCTCCACCCAACTTCTGTGTAGCAGTCAGTATGCTATTCATGCTACCTTTAAAATTTTAAAATAATAATTTTTCTTTTCATTCAGGGTGTTTTGCGCCAGGTGCCTGTAGTTAGCTCCATCTTAAACTGGTGGTCCCCTGCTAAAGAGCAGATCAAAGGGAGGACTTTCAACCTTACTTCTGGTGAGACTTGAACATATGAATCAAATTTTAATCTCTTTTCATAAAAGTTTAATAATTCTGTTGTCATTTTTTTTTTTTTTTTTGATAAATTACATTTTTTCCTGGCATTCACAGTTGTATATCATTCATTATGTTAGAAAATTAAACTCGTTGCCACTATTGATTTGATTCTTGTGTCTGTCACAGGTAAAATAATCCCCACAACCGACACATACAAGTATCACATGCAGCTGCAGGAAGACAACAGCTCTGCTCCAGCCTCCCCCAGGGAGGTAGCCCCACCCAAACTTCCCCAGCCAGAGACCCCACCCAAACTTACCCAGTCAGAAACCTTGAAAACAGCTGGTGAAGTAAAGTCCCAGCTGGTTAGTCAGTCTGCTGCCGGTGCCTCGTCCCCCACAACATCACCTGAGTCACCCAAACTACTGCAGAATGGTGGAGCATCTCCAATAGTGCAGGATGTAGCATCAAAGCCAGCCGTTGGGTAAATCAACACTTTAATTATTCTTACATTCTTTTACATTTCTAAAGTTTCTTCACTTTTTAGTAACATCTTGTACTATTTTGCTTTAAAACTTATCAGTTAAGAAAAAATTGCAAATGTGTTGGCAACCACTAAACATAAAGACAATATTAAGTGAATTTTTAAATAATTTACAATGAAAGACCTGGGGATGAAACATCATTGTAAATATTTTTATATAGTATTGTGATGTGGCTAACATCTCATCAGTTTATGGTTGTGTCACCTCTCTTTCTCTTCCCCCCCCCCCCCCCCCCCCATCCCACATTCACTATTACTAAAATATAACTGTATTTATTGTATGGTGACTCAATTAATTTTATTTATTGCCTTTCAATGAATTAAAATCACTTAATAATAGTACTTCTAAATTAATTAAATTCTGAGATTATTAAAAACAGTTTAGAGAGTATAAAATGTGTTCCAGACATACAACAAAAACATTTTTCCCCCCAGGGGTGCCAGTGAGGTGAGTGAAGCAGACGCTGTGACCAGCTAGAATTTCTAGTCACCACACCAGGGACAAGTTCATGTTTTGTTTGAAGCTTCTTTCCCTTTCAAAGAACAAAATGCAATTCATCACTAGGCACCACAAGTTTTTTTTCTATTTATTGATAAGTTTTCCCAACTAAAACCTGTCGTAGAGGCACTGGTCATATACAGTTGTTTCCTTTGGTCATTGACATTCCATTTTGTTTCTCACACACCAGTAGCTGATTGTTGATAGTTAGGTTGTGATAAACTGCATTTGAAATGTAACTAACAAAAACTTTCTTCAACAGTTGTAATAGATACATGTACATAAATTATAATTAATATAATGAAAGAAAGAAATTAATAAGCTGTGATGTGGAAGATTTTTTTAAATTCATTTTTTATTTGAATAAAAAAATTAATTTATTAAGCTATAAATATATGTATTTATTTAACTATGCTGTCTGAAGTTGAAGCACTAACTTTCACTTGCATGAATTTACAAACAATTGCTTTGTTGTAAATGCAAATTGTAAAAGACAAAATTTTCAGAACTTTTTTATAATTTAGTTGAGAAAATTGTGTTTTTTAAAGAAATCTAAATGTTTTTGCCTCCAATTTAAACAATTTTACATCTTATGTATAATTCTGTGGCTTAATATCAACTTTTCTAGCTTAAGTGTCATTTCTTGAGGGTTTTCTATCGTGTATCTGATTCTGGAGTTTAAAGAAGTTGCACTGGGTGAAAAACTGTTTTTGTTTGAGGGTTGAGCTGGTGGTTGCTATGGTTACTGTATTTTATCTTCCATATAAAAAAAAACCAGGGTACGGTGGTTGATATCTGCACTTGTAAATAGGCTTGTTTTCCTCAGTATTAGCATTCAAGCTATTTGTACCTTCAGTCACAATTCTTGTTAGTCGTAAGTGTTGTATACATCAGGGCTTGATCACATCTTGACTTAGGTACATTACATCATGTCTTGTGTACATCAGGACTAGTGTACATCAGGACTAGTGTACCCCAAAAACTGAGTACACATCATGTCAACACCATATTAGAACTGTTGTAATAGACTCTGTGTATGGTTGATAGATTTCCTCCCCAACCACCAGCAGTTGCTGCTTCCATTCACAGCTTCAAGTTTTTTTGTCTGGCTACACCAGGGTGTAATTTTTTTAACATAGACAAAGCTAAGCACAGGGCTTATAAGATATCTGAGCTGGTTGCATAATAATTAACACACTTTTGGGTTGTTTTTTTTTTAGCTCTCCAAATAATATGTTTTGTCTGTTTGGTATACACATTTTTTATTCTAGTAAGACAAAAATTTTTAATTAATACTAACACTTTTTACTGAACTTACAACCTGAGTGAAACTGGAATTTGTGATAAGACTAGTGCGGCTGGCCTGAGTTTCTGTGATGAGTTTATGCAACCTGTCTCTGTAAGAGTCAGCGCCCAGACATCTGCTGTGGTACCCAGTATTTTACTGCTTTCTTTATGTCAGTATTGTATTATTTTTTTGAGGTGTTATTAGTATTAACCATAAATATGCAAGATCATTAATTATTTTTAAGTAAGACATAATATGGTGGCATATACTTCTGTGTTGGAGGTAGTATTGAGTTGTTTCATTTGGCAGTTTGTTTTGGTGCTGTTATGGTCCAGTCGTGTGGTGCTAGGCCTGACATTCTGATGGTCCAGTCTTGTGGTGCTAGGCCTGACATTCTGATGGTCTAGTCTTGTGGTGCTAGGCCTGACATTCTGATGGTCCATTCTTGTGGTGCTAGGCCTGACACTTGATGGTCTAGTCTTGTGGTGCTAGGCCTGACATTCTGATGGTCCAGTCTTGTGGTGCTAGGCCTGACATTCTGATGGTCCATTCTTGTGGTGCTAGGCCTGACATTCTGATGGTCCATTCTTGTGGTGCTAGGCCTGACATTCTGATGGTCCATTCTTGTGGTGCTAGGCCTGACATTCTGATGGTCCAGTCTTGTGGTGCTAGGCCTGACATTCTGATGGTCCATTCTTGTGGTGCTAGGCCTGACATTCTGATGGTCCAGTCGTGTGGTGCTAGGCCTGACATTCTGATGGTCCAGTCTTGTGGTGCTAGGCCTGACATTCTGATGGTCCATTCTTGTGGTGCTAGGCCTGACATTCTGATGGTCCATTCTTGTGGTGCTAGGCCTGACATTCTGATGGTCCAGTCTTGTGGTGCTAGGCCTGACATTCTGATGGTCCATTCTTGTGGTGCTAGGCCTGACATTCTGATGGTCCATTCTTGTGGTGCTAGGCCTGACATTCTGATGGTCCATTCTTGTGGTGCTAGGCCTGACATTCTGATGGTCCAGTCGTGTGGTGCTAGGCCTGACATTCTGATGGTCCAGTCTTGTGGTGCTAGGCCTGACATTCTGATGGTCCAGTCTTGTGGTGCTAGGCCTGACATTCTGATGGTCCATTCTTGTGGTGCTAGGCCTGACATCTTGATGGTCTAGTGTTGAGTTCTAAGCCTGACATCCTTATACTAAGCTACTATGTAACCTCCATCCACTGCCTTTTATTTTATTGTTTTTTTTTTGTGCCAGCTCATGTTTTATTTTATATTTATTTTGTACCAGCATACCATGTACATAATGAGGGACTATTCACTATCCTGGTATGTTTTGCTATTTATTTCATTGCTTTTTTAATGTGACTATTTTCTTCCAGCAAATCCAAAACAATGACTGCCAAAATTAATAGAATCCTTCAAATGTGTTTTTCAAATCAAATTTTTAAAAATTAAAAAGCTTGATTCTTTTTCACATTACATTTTTATTTCTTGTACCTTTGTTTCCCTTACATCAAAGGATGAAATATGTACCTATGTTTTCTATATAACAATGATGACTTATGCAATGAGTTTCCTAGAAGTGTTTGACCAGAGGAGTCTGTGATAAACATAATTTTTTTTAATGCTTGTTACAACAGCCATTCACTTGCTTCTTTTTGATACTTGTGTTTTTTTTATACTGCGGGATTATTGTTTTAAAGCACTGAATGTGGGACATACACAGATTATGGGTTTTGTCAGATTAATGTGGAATGTTTTTAGTTGGGGGTGAGTGAAGTCATTCTGAGATTTTAGTACCTTTTTTTTGTCTACAAATATAATATTTAATCTAAGAAATAAAAGTGATTTTTTTTTTCCTTTTGGAAAAGATAATGCCGTTTAATTGTAGTTCTTTTTTTTTAAACAGTGCTGTAGAACTAATGAGAGTTGTATTGATGAAAGAGATGTTCTGTTAGTGTAAGTGGATTGTGTTTTATCAGTGGGATTATCATGTTCAGTTTGGATCAAATAAACCTTTGAAAATATTTGTCTGTTTTCCTGTTGTCACTTAGTTTTACAGATGAATGTATGAGCGGTATTGTCTGATAAGTTATGTTGTCTGATTAGAACACATACACTGATGGATTTGTTTGGAGCTTGTGACAAATGTGAGGAAACAAGAAGCGCATTGATGTTACAACATATTCACTTTGTTAAAGATTTTTTGAAAGTTGCTGCTGCATCTTGTTGGTATTTGTATCACTGAACTGGCAAGCAGTAGCACAAATGCCATTTTATGGCAAAACTGGGGGGAGGGGGGGGCACCCCAGACAGATAAAATTCCTTATTTAAGACTGCTACAGCTGACTCAATGGGTGGCCAAACTGGATTAGATGCTGAGCTCACACAAGAGATAAAAATGTTTAGCTGTCATTGATGATACAAAAGATATACATTTTGGTTTCAAAACAGGTACAATGACAGAAACAGTACCATCATAACCTTTGTTCATAAAAAAGTAATGTAACTGTTTTGTTGTGTGGGGTGAATTTGTTTTTTCTTTTTTATTAGATTTGATGTTGGTTGTGTAAGAAATTATTTTGTTTAATAGTAACAAACATTAATGTGTGATTCACATGAAGTAATTTTTTTATTACATAATGATAATTTAATATAATGATCCCAGAGTTGAATTGTAACTTTGTAACAATTAAACTAGGTAGGCCTACATGACAAATGTTTATGTTGAAATCTATACACACACAATTTTAAAAGTGAAAACACTATTTCTTACAACAATC